TGCATTTCAACAGACAGGAAACGCTGAGCTTCGCACCATGGCGGACACGCCATCAGCATCCGAACACACCCTATGGGCCGGCTCCAGATAACAGAACACACACAACAGCGGCAGCTGCAGCCCAGGCAACCCAGACCGCCACGCCACAAGCTGGTGAACAGCTACCAGGACAGGCCTTCCAAGTTGAGGACCTTGATCCAAAGCTGCTACCTGCCGGATGGCATGTTGATGATGAAGGCTTCATCAGCCTGTGTGATCGCCCCATGGACTATTGGGAAGTGAAGGCAGGGTGTCTCATCAGGCACCATCTCGTGCCCAGACGGGGCAAGCTGAATATTGATCACCTGCCAAAGGATTGTCCGGTTCCTGCGGACCAGCTCGACCGCATCAAGGTCACCTTGATCCACCAACCTGGTGGGAAGGGCCGACTCACGACCGATGATGGCACGGACACTGCGCCTCCCAAGGATTTGAAGTCCTCCTGGACTGGCGTCACGGTCTTCCAGATCACCGGCTCATTGCGGAAAGAGATGGCCATGTATGGTGGCTACCACGAAGCCTTCACCTCCGCCAAGCAAGAGGCCAAGAGTCAGAAACTGGCCCGAGTCAAGAAGATGAAGACCGCAAAGAATGATGTCAATGAAAGACACCTTGGCCCTCACGAACGAGCACTCTTCAAGGAAGCCAAGGTGAAGGAGCTGAAGAGTTTCTTCGACCACGGAGTCTGGACTTTCCAGACCAAGTCAGAGGCCGATGAAGCAAGGACCCTGACCTCAAGGATGATTTTGAAATGGTCCAAGAATCCTGATGGCAGCCCAAGGGCGAAAGCACGCCTCATCGTGCGAGGGTACAATGACCCTGATGCTCTGGCAGGCCAGATTCCAACATCCAGTCCAACCACGACACGCCTGTCAAGGAGCATGGTGCTTTCGCTAGCCGCCAACATGCGGTGGAACATGTGGACGGCAGACGTGTCCACGGCATTCCTTCAAGGCCGATGCCAAGACCGCAAGCTGTGGGTGAAGCTTCCTAGCGAAGCACTTCAGTTGCTTGGGGCCGACCATGACACTCGCATGTTGTTGCTCAAGCCCTGTTACGGGCAGATCGATGCTCCACGAGGCTGGTACTTGGAGGCAGTTGACCGCCTTTTGCGCGCTGGACTCCGGCAGCACCCTTTGGACCCTTGTGCCTTCCTCATCTATGAGTCCGACGCCCAGGACTATGATGCTGAGTCACCGATCTATAAGAAGGTGAGCACTCTTGGTCCAGAACGCCTCTGTGGCATGGTCATCATGCACGTGGATGACATGCTTGGTGCGGGATGTCCTCATTCACCTCGCTACAAGGCCGTCACCGACCTTTTGAAGGAGAACTTCTCGTTCCGTGAATGGAAGGAGGAGGAGCCTTGTCTGGAGTATTGCGGATGCCAACTTGAGAAGACTGCATCCGGTGGACGTCGCCTTCACCAAGAGCAGTACATGAGCAAGCTCAAGCCCATCAGCTTTTCCAAAGGACGCCCTATGTCCGAGCTTCTGTTGGACAAGGAGATCACCCAAGTGCGAGGACTCCTGGGGTCGCTCCAATGGCCTGGAGTTCAAACCTCTCCACACTTGCAATGCACCACGTCCATGCTCTCAGGCCAGATCACAAAGGCCACTGTCCAGACAATGCACGAGTGCAATCGTCTTCTCCGCTTCGCAAAGGAGAATAAAGATGTGAGCCTCAGCTACAACCATCTATGCCACCCTGATGAGCTTCAGTTGGTTTGTTTCTTTGACGCTGGCTTCACCGCAAGGTGTGATGGAAGCTCACAGGGAGGCTACATCACGATGATGGTTCATCGAGAGCTTCTCACCTCCGCTGAAGAGGGCGAGTACCATGTCCTGGACTGGAGGAGCTTTCGCACTCCCCGTGTTGCTCGCAGCAGCCTTGGCGCCGAAGCCCAGGCGGGAGGACAGGCAGTTGATGCCGTCGACTTCACATGCCGCTACTGGCACCACTTGTTGCGCCCCAACACCAAGCTCAAGGAGCTTCTTGAGGTGAAGTCCGACCTCAAACCAGTCCTCATCACGGACGCCAAAGCCCTCTATGATTCCTACCACCGAGAAGGGATCAGTTCCTCAGTTGTGGATAAGCGGGTGTCGCTTGAAATCCGCGTGATGAAGGAGCGGTTGGAAGAGCTTTCTGGTTCCCTGCGCTGGATGAGCTCTGAGCGGCAAATCGCTGACGGCTTGACAAAAGAGTCAGCACGTGTTTTGTTGGCCTCCCGACTTCGCCATGGAAAGTTGAAGATGACATGGGACCCTCACTACGTGGCCCATAAGAAGAAGTCGAAGGCTGAGAAGGCCGCCGCGATTGCAGAGTCTACTGCACTTCCACCACTCCCACGTCTGGTCGCGACACGCACTGAGGACACGATGGAGGATGAACACCCTTTTGAGACCAATGCCACTCCAAAGAATGACATCACCTCTGAGGACAATGAAGCCTGGCCGAATGAAGACGTGCCTGACATTGTCAGCTTTGCTCAGAACCACGGCTCGCTACAGTATGTCGACGCCCGGAACCATGTCGTGCCGAGCCGCATGGACTTTGTCGACCAGAGTCGCTTGAAGAACGTGTTTCTTGGTTTGTTGAGCTTTTCACTGCTGGCAGCCGGGAAGGCTGAATCGGATGTTTGCTCGAAGCTTGATGTTCACCCCCCCGAAGACACTGGAGATTTCTGGCTGAGCGTTTTTCTGTTTTTGCACCTTGGAGTGATGCTGCTTGTATTCATGTGTGGCCGAGCCTCGAAGAGGCCACAATTGTTTGAAAGCCCTGCCACCTCCGAAGCTGGTGTACAGAAAGATGACCCGGTAGTCCTGCAGCGATGGCGAGAGCTCGCCAAGTCAGAAGCTTTGAAGGCCAGCGAGTCCCAGGCCGCAGCTCGTGAATCTCGATCTGCCCTCGACCTGCAGATCCGAGAGGTCTCGGAATTGAGATCTTTGGTAGAGTGTGCGGACCAGCTGCTGAAAGCATTGGTCGCTGAGATGGAGCGCCACTCAAGTCGGTGCCCGTGTGGAAAGGAGATTTTTGTAGTGAAGAAGGGAAGGTGTTGGCACCTCTATGACTGCCACATCGTTGAGAATGCAGTTCCATCCAATGTCCAGCCTTTTCGAGGCTGCAGCTTTTGCACGGAGCACCAATGCCCTCCGGACAGGTATGAATATCCTGCCGGGTGGTGCATCCGTCAGGACATCGAAGCCTGGCGGAGGGACGCTTCCGTCTTTTTGCCTTGGACCCAAGAACGGTCCGTGTGAGTTGCATGCCATGCAACATGAAACGCGAAACTTCGCTCCACCGAGACGGGTGGGCTCGAGAGTTTGAAAAGCCTGCGGTGCGGTCGCCTCGGCGACTTTGTCTCCCGCGCGTCGGCGCGGCGCGTTCGTTGGTGGTGGACTTCGTTTGCTACCACCTGGTTTTCCACACCTACCCTTCTGGAGGCTGCTTAGTGTTACGCCTCAGCGGCCAAAAACTTACGAGAAACCTGCCATGAATCTCCCATGTAATCAGTCGTCTTCGTTCTTTACTTAATGGGTCTCCAGATGGTCTTGGGTTCAATTCCTTGCGAGCCTTCTCTTGCGTCACCCACGCACTAAAACAAGCATGTTGCCAGATGGTCCCGGGTTCAATTCCCCCTCCTCCCAACCCTCTCCGTCTAGTGCTTTGCAAGAGTATTGTTGTTGTATTGTTTTCATCTTATATACTGTGTTCCTTGGATTTTCTAATGATGGCTATGATATGATATGATTACTGCCGCGGGTTTCCTCTAGTTTTTACTGCGAGTTTTCTATTGTTTTCCTTTGATAGAAGGTTCCTCGCTTTTTGAAACATGATGGGAGCCTTTTTCAGCGATGCAAACTTGATGATATTCCTTTACATCTGCCAGTGCATTTTCTCTGCATTGAATGTTCTGCTGGAAGCACGACTTTCAAGGGTTCTGCGAAGGGCGTGCTTATCATAAAGGGTTCCCTGGTTTCTTTGAAAAACAAACCTTTTTCAGGGGTGAAAACTTGAGGTTGTCTTGCATGGGCAGTGTCCTTTTCTTTGTCAACAAGTGCATTGTTTCTACATTGAATGTTCTGCTGCAAGCACGGCACATCCCTCAACCCCGTCTCCATCTAGTTTCCGCGTTTTTTTTTTTTTTTTCGGGTGTCTTTTTAGTGTTTTCCAAGGTTTTCCTGCGGTTTTCCAGTGTTTGCTGCGGTCTTGTCCTAGGTTTGTCTCGTCTCTTTGTGTTTATGTAGGGTTTCCACGGGTTCGGCGAAGGGCATGCTTTTGATAAATGGTTCCATGTTTTTGTGAGAAAGGGGCGCTCTTTTTTAACGTGGGGCATATCCATTTTACATGCGTCGGTACTGTCCTTTTCTCAGTCAACACTTAAGTATTATATATCACATTGAATGTTCTGCCGGAAGCACGGCACATCTGAAAAAATACTCTTTCCCCGTCGCGGGCAAAGCCCTATCACTTGTGCAGAGTGCACGCGGTCCCGCGCTCGGCGGCTGCAGTCGGTAGCCTGATAAATACACATTAGCTGGAGATATGGGTGTGGGTGAAACCAACCGTGACTGTGTCTGCTGTGAACACCACCCACATCCACGAGAGACTCATGTTGTAAGACCTGAAACAGCCAGGCAATGCGGCTGTCTCTAGCCTGAAAGGCCAACTTTGGCCCAATGGTTCCGTCGCCTGACTTAAAACGGAGCGACCTGCTGGACCTGCTGAAAAAAAGGAGTGATAGATGTTACACCTACCTACTATCTATCTATCTATCTATCTATCTATCTATCTATCTAATCTAATCTAATCTAATCTAATCTATCAAAAGCCATATATATTAAAATAAACTATATATATATATGTATGTATGTAATTATGTATATCTATATACCATCCCTACACCACTTCGGACGCTCTCCGAACCATCCCTGCACCGGTGATGCGGGCGCTTCGCCCGCCTCCGGCCATGGGGTCGTGGTGAGCTTCGTGGTCACCCAGGCCGTGAGCTTCGGTGGGGCGGTGTTGGGTCGGTGTCCATTCAGTGCCTCAGTGGGGATGTCTGGCATCGTTCGTGTCGAACGACGTGCCCAAAAGCGGACGTGACACCCCCCAGCCCAGGGCTGGGGGAAGCTGGAGAAAAGGGATCGACAGTGCCGAAATGGTGTATTGCCTGCGGCTGAAAAGATGTGTGTCCAAGACGTGCTGGGAGAAAAACTGATGCCCCATCAGTCGATAATTACTCTCTAATCTATTTTGATGACCCGTTGTTGTTTTAAATGTTTTTGTTACGACTCAGACTCAAGTGCTATGTTGGACCTCAAGACTCCAACCCTCCAACGGTGCTTCGCCAAAGAACATGCCAATCTGCCAAGGTAGCTGTCATCGCTTGCAGATCAACTCGCTGCGGACGTCGAGGGAAGTTGAGCCGAAAAAATCCCCAGACCCTTCCAGGTCTTCAACTGCTCAGGGGGATGTTTTCATGGGTGTAGCTCTCGCTCTGTGTGCATGTCTCTCTCTCTCTCCCTCCTTCTCCAGTGAGACTCCCCAAGGCAAATGGAATAAAACCCATCGCACGGTCCAAATATGTGACCGTGGTTCAACAATCGACCAATACCCAACCCAGCCAACGTAGACCAAACCCTAAGACCTGGGTACCTGGGCGTATGTTTTCCTAAACTTTTGGTGCACTTGCCATCTAAACCCTCGGGGGACTGCGCCATGGAACATCCTTGAACACGAACATTTCTCCAAAGAAGCCTGAACGATCAAAAGATTGAAACCCATCGATCCATGGCCAGTTGAGAGGGTAGCTAGGAGGAAGAGTTTATAAAAAGGATGTGTGAACAATTGTGAACATAGGAGGGCATAAGGGGCCCTCAAATACACGCTGATGCGCAGGATCCACGTTTGGATGTTGTCCCCCTACGATATCTAGCAATGGTTTCAGAACATGTATGTCTATGCCTATGCCAATCATAAACATAGATAGACTATGATACACATAGCACCCCCGAAAGCTTGCATAAAAACATGTTTCGACCAGCTTCATTGCCAGGTTAAAGAAAGGTCTCTCAGGTCGATTCGATCGGAAAATGCCCCTGACTGGCAGGTCGCAGCACTGAGCCATTGGCGAGGGGGGTCCCGGACCCCACCCCAACGGGCAGAAGCGCGGGGTCTCTCCAAGCTAGCGGTGCAAACAAACAAAACACAGCTTTGTTGGAGGGCCTCTCAAGGTGACAAAACCCAACATAATTCCTTTGGTGAGTGCTGGCATCGCTTCCGGAAATATGCTCAAGAAGGACGGAACATTGCTCGCTTGTTGCAACCAACTGAAGCCTGCTTCTATTGAGACTGGAGGGACCATTTTGTGTGTCCTGGGGTGTGATATGCTGAAGTCGTTGGAGCTGACTCTCCATGGCAACTTGCTTTGTGCAATTCATTTAGGAGCTGGAGTCCATGCAGCCTTGGAGAGGCTGGTATTCATCAAAAGGAAACCAGCTGATTTCACAACAGTAAGTACTAAAATTGCTACTATGCAACTCTGGTAGCTTAACGTATTGATCTTGATCATGAAGCCACAAAGATATGTCCCACTCAAGACGTATGCCTGAAAATCAAAATCCTGGAAGCCTGGAATTTCCCTTTTCTGGGGGGTTGACCCAGTATGATTTGTTTGAGGGGATTTGGCTGTTTGGCTAAAGACCTTCTGAGGACTGTGTTGTCCACATATCCAGGCCGATGTTCAATCGATTTTCTCTCAGCCATCCACACGCGACATGTGCTCCATGAGCATGACAGCTGCCAAGCTTTGCTGCGCAAGCGTGCAGCAGGTGGCGGCCGAAGTGTAGCTGATCACCTCGGCCCGGACGCCACACAGGCCCTTTCAGGTCTAAAGCAAGACATGCACTCACGTTCAAGAGATGCGCTCACGCATCAAACATGCCACAAGACAAACGGCCTTTAGACTTAGCCCGTACTGGCCCGGAAGGCCGGACGGAAGCGGGATCACTCGACATACATCCAAGCAGGAAGGCCAGCATGCAAAAAACATTCACCATCGGAATGTTCAGGTATAGTATGTATAGGATTCCCAAACTCGTACTACAAGTTCCAGCACTTCCTCAAAGAGAATACGTTGGAATGCAAACCCTCAAGCCCCCCTTCCTTCCCTCAAAGTGTGATCCAGAATTAACAAAACGCAGTGACCAAACAGGGCTGAAATCATACACAAATAACGTTAAACAAAAAACACAAAACAAACTCAGCTCAAAAACTCAAATCCAAAACAAACTCAACAGCAAAACTCAAATCAGACTCAAGTCAGACTCAACAAGAACCTCAACGCATACTCAAGCAGCAAGTTGCCTTCTCAATTTGAGGCTTGCGTTCATGAGTTCCACGCAAAGTTGTCTGAGTTTACTTGTTCCATGAGTTTCTCTTGAGTTGCTCTTTGAGTTTTCCATATGTTTTCCCTGTTTTTTTCCTGAGTCCAATTCTCTCTCGTTTGAGTTGCTCGCGAATCTGAGTTTCTTTGAGTCGTTTTTGAGTAGGTTGCAGGATTTTAGTTTTATCATCTTGATCCCTTGTCCCTTGCTGGTCCATTTCTGGCACCATGCGTTCATAAATCCAGAATCCCCCAAGGTTGCTAGTGCATCATGCCAACAAAAATCTCAGCTTCACTGCCATTTTACGGTGCGCCATGTACAAAACTGTTAGCTTCACTGCAATTCCTTTCCTTCTAAACACCCCCCTCTTTTTGATGTCCGGGTGGCATCAGGCCTCAGCTCACCAGAAATCGCGACCCGGAGGAGTCGAAGGCTCTGGCACCATGAAGCTCCAGCCTCGCACTCGTGCAAGACACTGTTGATACTGACCTCATGGGACCATCGCTGTGTTGAGATAGAATGTGTGTGTGTCTTTTTGTATAAGCACTCAGTTGGTACGGCTTCCACGAAACACTAGAGCACAAGCTGAATCCATCAACCCAGTGCAAAGTAGAGGCTAAAATTCAGTCTTTGGATCACTTTGTCACTCGAGCCGGGGCCGTCAGGAGCAAATCCAAAAGGCTAAGTGTTGTGTTATGTTGGCCTCAAACCGATGAGGCCCCAGAAACACGATGTTTGCCAAGGAAAGTTGACCGTTGGCTCAGCCAATATCAAGGCACCAGATTTGGACGGCACTCGCCCTGCTCCATCATGTGTAGCCGCCTGAGTGCTTGCCGCCATCCACCAGCCAACATTGCATTCCTCAGCCCAAGGATGACAAGCAGGCTCGGAGACTGACATCTGGAGAGGTCTTCATCTGATGACTTGAAATGGTCCCAACCTGACAGAAAGCACGCAAAAATCTCACTTGAGGTCTGAATAGGACTCAAATTAGGGCCGAATATTGTCCCAAACCTCTGAGGAAGAATGGTGCCCAAGCTCTCCTAATACTTTCATATTACTTTCTATACAAGCCCTCAAGAGTCAAAATGCCTAGTATCGACCAACACCCCCGTGAGGATCCCCCAACTCAACCGGGCTTCTGCACCACTTCGTTCCCGCTCAACCGGCTCAGCGCTGCGGTACTGCACAAGGAGATGGCATCTCTCCAGCGGGAGGCTAAAGCGCTGGATTGCAACGTGGTACTGTAGCTGATCTCATTGGGAGAGGTCCTCATCAGTTCCAAATGCGGTTTCATAAACCTCAAGAGGCGGTTGTATAATCCAGATCTCTAAATATGTCTATATACATGTTGTGTTGTTTTGGGGGTTCTCTATATCTAACTACTCTTGACAGCTATGATCAAACTTTGCCTTATATAAGAAGATATACTTATATATATATGTGTATATCTATATATCACAGTCCCACACCAAGCAAGCAAGCAAGCAAGCAAGGCTCCACTCCCTCATGCGAGCCATGGCATGGAGAGACTGGGGCCATTGGTCTGTTCGTCGGCAGGCGTGGAGAACATTGTTCTGAGAAATCACGTTGGCCCGCACCTGGCGCAAGCTGTGTCAAACGGCAGCTGGCAGCTAGAAATATACTGTAGGGCAAACACAAAATACACCAAGCCACAATTGTTGTAATTACTTTGATGTCAAGCTGGGTCAGCCATATCCAGAACTTGCTCCTGTTTCTTGGTTTCTTGTAGCCAGGCCTCTGAAATGTCCATGGCCTCAAGGCAAAGCAAAGCGAAGCTCCTGGGGCGTCACGCATGAAAACCACACAGTGGATTCTTGGTCCCGCGTGGGTCGAGAAATGCGCCGGCTGTCCGGACTCCCCATCCGCATCCGTCTACCGAGGTCCACTGTGTTGGTTTCTTCTGGATGGCGCCGATTCGATGTCCGAGCGTCCAGTGACCACTTTGTGAGGATGTGGTAGCAAGCCCACCTGTCGAGAGGTCCAAAACAGCGGCACAGGTCTTGGCATCCTCTTGGTTTGGAGTCCGAGTACATGAGTCCTGGAGTCCAATTCCATCCCCCAGCCAATAGCTTGCAGCTTGCCAAAGCAAGGAGTAACTCCAGCTAGCTGAAGCTAGCTAGCTTTCGTGATAAGGGTTTGTTACAAAGGTGTTCCTTTTAATTGTTGACAAATTGAGATGGTGTTAGCTTTTGACCACCCTTTAAACTGAGTACGTGTAGTCTCCCTTTGGCCTGGAGAGGGGGCTTCCAGACTCTTCCCATGCGTTTTGCAACTTGATCCTCTCACGTACTGCCGAAGCCACTGAAGGTCACCACTGTCGGTGTCAAGGCTTCTCTGGCCATCGACCCACCCAGCGACAAAGCCACGCGCCTCGACTCCCGTGAGGCGATGCGTTGTCTTCGGTGCGACAAGGATCCGCCCCCCGAAGCGAAGGGTCGATGGTCTCGATTTGTATGTTGAGTTGCCCCAAGGGGGTTGCTTGGAGCACCTGCGCAGGTGATGCTGGCATGGGTTGCTCCAAAATGGGTCGAACTAAACCCCAAGACACCAGGCAAAGCCAGGCAAAGGAAAACCGTGACCAGCTTACCTAAGGAGGCAGCTACATGGGTCCCCTGGGTCTGTGGGTTCATATACCTGCATAAAGGAAATCATCACTTCAGATGTTGAAGTGGCGGCAACATACATCCCTGGTCTCTCAGTCTTCCAAGTCTCCAAATATCAGTGCCCTGGCAGCAGCTGAGGCTGGTATTGCAACTCACCTGAACAGGGCTGTAGCACAATGGCAGCGGGAACACCTACCTTGATAGGATTTTTGCTAGATAGGAAACATACCTATATAGAAGATCATAGAAGAGTCTATTTGGTCTTTTATGCTTGCCCTGTGGATTTTCCAATGTCCAATAAATTCCTGTAGCTTTCTAGCACAAACGAAGACATGACCTCAGGTTCGGTGAAACAACGTTTCGAGCTTTTCAGTGGCCATTGATTCTGTTGGAACTCCTGGCTGACTCTACCATTCAGTTGACTGCTGGAAACCACGGCGGGCCCCTGGACCCTGCCGAGGGCCTTTCCTTTTTCAAGCAGGCAGTGGTTCTCATGTTTATCGGGGCCGGCCTATGCCTCGGCCTATACCTCACCCCTCCTCAAAGCAATATGGACCCTGAGAATCGACATGTGGAAGACCACTTGGGGGTCCATGCTCATGTGCAGG